CTGCATGTCCAATTTATACAGCAACAGTCAGTCTAGGCAAGATCAGTTTCTTGCCCAAATGGCCAATCTTGCCATGTTGAAGGCAAACTCCATAACGAGTTTCTTTGATGCCTATCTTCCTCTCAGACGTAATTGGTGCTGCCAGGAGCAGACATTTCTCATTGTTAAGAAAAACCATAAATCATTTTAAATGCCATTTTCTGAAGGTCTTTGAGAGGTTTGAATACTGTTTATCTATCTCAAATATATTTCTGTATATCTAGAAAACCTAACTTACCTAACTATAAATTCTAAGTAACTATCTATAGTCTGTATTCAATTATGCATTATGTTTTAAAAGATCAGTATAAGCACAATACTTAATCAAGAGGAGAAATATACACATCACAAAATTGACCTTGAATTTGTATCAATAAATGAAAAACAATATCCATACCATAATTCCCCTTTTTACCATTAAAAAGAGATTGGTTGTGATCATTAACCAATTATAAACAATCCCATTTAAATGAAAACAAAGATTTATAAACAAGATGGGAATTAGGACGTTGCTCATTCCAAACTGCTTCGTGCTGGAAGGGGGCACTGTTCATACCATGGGGATCATGAAAAAACTCAGAAACCTGTATAAGTCCGTATTTTCGGGGTCTGTAAGACTGCATCATCTTAGCTGTTTCAATTGTTGGAACACCTGGTCCACTGCTTCCGGGGGTCTTGGTTGATCAAACCACAGAAGCCTGGAAGGAATCCTCAGCTTTTCATTTTCTGTAGAAACATAAATAAAAACTCCTTTTCCAAGTAACATATTCTTATACTTAAATTTTGAAGTCAAGGCATTTTCAAAAGATATAAATTGAATTAATTTAGCAGCATTTATAATCAAGTGTACTTTAGTGGTTGTTCCTTCCTTAGCAATGAAAAAACTGAAAAACAGAATAGCGTACAGTATCCAGACTCTGTGTATTTTCCATCTTTGCATGGCTTATTTATTTATCTATTATTACTTTATTTCTTTTACTTTTATTTATTTTTCTTTGAGACAGGGTTTCTCTTTGGAAATCCGCCTGCCTCTGCCTCTGGAGCAAATCCTACCTGCGTGTGGCACCACAGCTGGGCCGGTTCTTTTTATCTCAATCTTACGTATATTTTTAAACACACTGTAAACCTTTAGAGGTTTTTCTTCATCCAAGTCTGACTTTACTGTAAATACGTTTTTCTGGCCATGTGTCTTATCTGTAAAACCACGGCTGTTTAACCTGCTGTTTTTCCAAGATGGCGGGCGTAAGCGTGATTCCAGCTTACTGTCTCAGTCTGACATCCAGCAAAATCTGCTGGCTCAGAGATGTGGTCACTGCCACTTCCAGCTGTACGTATAACTTTTCAATTGTTAGCAGAGTCTCTTAAAAGAACTTTGTTGGTTTTTTTGTTTGTTTGTTTGTTTTTGCTGAGTCAAGCTGCGTGACTCTGCTTGTCGCTAGCAAAACAGAGTCCACCTGAGAAAAATGCTGCTACCAAAAACCCATGCTTTTCTCCGTTCTTTTGTTTCTAAAATTCCTTTAAAGCTTTTGTCATTCTACATGGAAATTCATCATCCCACTCCTGATCACCATTATGTAATGAGAAGCCTTTTCCTTGCCAGCCGTGTTGTAGTCCCCAAATAACACACAAGATGCTGTATTAATTATGAAGCTGTTGGCCTTGCTTGTTTCTTACTGGCTAGCTCTGACTTAAGTAATTATCCCATAATTGTTAATCTAAGTATTTCTCTTACAGGAGAAGTTTCCGGGCTTCCTACCCCATGGCGTTACATCTTGACTCTCTGTGTTTCTCCTTCCCAGAGTCCTCCTGGACTCCTAGTCCCACCTATCTAGATTCCAATTGGCCAGCAGTGCTTTATTGACACAAGACTTCCCCAACACCTACTCAATTTATAAAATATTGTAACAATCTTTTCTTCTGAACCATTTTGCAAATGCTGCCTTCCTCTCCACCTCCATGTGATAGCTCATGCGCGTGCTTGTGCATGTACGTGCTCTCCAATCCCCTCTTTTTCTTCCTTTCTTTCTCCTGTCTTTCTCGTTCTCTCTCTCTCCCTTTCATTTTTCTTCCTTTTTAATTACATAGGCTCTCCCTATGTAATCCTGGCTGTCATGGGACTCTCTACCTAGAACAAGCAGGCTCACAAAGACCCATTGTGGGAGTATTTAATTATGTAACAAAGTGTTACATCGGCATTTGTTTAAAGATGTAAGGGTGTGTTACATTTGCTTATGCTGCATTCATTTAACTATGTAAAGATGTGTTGCTGTTTCACCTTGCCTGCCTAAGGCACCTGATTGGTTAATAAAAACTGAACGGCCAGTGGCTGGGCAGAAGAGGGATAGGTGAAGCTGGCAAACAGAGAGAATAAATAGGAGGAAGAATCCAGAAAAAGAAAAGGAGAAGAGAACGAGGAAGAAAGAAGGACAAACCTGGGGCCAGCCAGCCAAGCAGCGGTCAGGCAGACACGGAAGAAGCAGGAAAAGTAGGACGTACAGAAAGAAAAGGCGAAAAGCCCGGAGGCAAAAGGTAGATAAAGAGAAACAGGTTAAGTCAAAAGAGCTAGCCAGAAACGAGCTTAAACTAGGCCAAGCATTCATAACTAATAAGAAGTCTCCCTGTCGCTGGGTGGTGGTGGCGCACGCCTTTAATCCCAGCACTTGGGAGGCAGAGGCAGGCGGATCTCTGTGAGTTCGAGGCCAGGCTGGACCGACAGCCTCCAAAACAATACAGAGAAACCCTGTCTCGTAAAACCAAAAAAAAAAAAAGAAGTCTCCCTGTCATGATTGGGAAGCTGGTTGGTGACTGAAAAGAAAAGCCTTCTACAAAGAAGACCTGCCAATGCCTCCTGAGTTGTAGGATTAAAGGTGAGTGCTCCCATTCCCCCAGCACGGGATTAATGGTGAGTGCTCCCCTTCTAGTGTGGGGCGTGCTCTTCAGTACAGATCTGACTTTGTCACTTCTCTCCTGTTGCTCTCTACTCCCTACAGAATAACTTAAGGCTCTTCAGAATGTTACTACTTTCTTTCCCTTTTCTCTCCCTCAAACCTGGAAGCTGTTGCACACCTAATGCACACTTTCCTGTCCTCTGACTTGCTTTTCCTATTCTGTTTTTGTTTTATTGTTTGAGATAGAGTCTCAAAGTGTAGGCTACACTGTGGCTCAGGCTGGCTTAGAACTCATGATGCAGACTAGGCTGGCCTCAATCTTTCACAACTTGCCTTTTCTACTTCTCTAGTGAACTTTTAGTCATTAAAAGTCCACCGTAAATACAATATCTTCCATAAATCCTTCCCAGAGTTGTCTCAGCCAAGTGGGTCTGTGTTGAAATACATGACAATCACGCGTGCCTTTGAGAACCACTGCTCCCCTTAGCCTCGGGTATCTGCTTACTTGCCTTCTCTTCAGGATTTGCTTTGAGGTGAGTGTGGTGGCACATGCCTTTAATCCCAGCATTTTGGACCTATAATTCCAGCACACAGGAGGCAGAGACAGGTAGATCTCTGTAAGAGGCCAGCCTGGTCTACAAAGCAAGCTCCAGGCCAGCAAAGACTACACAGTGAGACCCCTCCTCAAAGAAATGACAAGACCCAAATGAATTGTTTTAAAAATTGAATTTTCAATTTTACAATGCCAGACATGTGCTACTTGAGAGTGAAGTCTAGCGGTCTGCATGCCTACAGTTCAATTTACATGGCCACCTACTGGAAGGACCTGTTGGCAGAAAAGGCAAAAAACGCTGTTGTATGCTTCCCTGGCTTTCTCTAATTGCCTGGTAATTTGTTCCACTACACTGTTAAGGGGCTAGACCGGAAAGGCATCAGGAAGATGCTGTTAGGCTGGCTTCCGACGTTGGTGTCCACCTTTGGCAGGCAGATCTCCGTAGGTTCGAGGCCAGCCTGATCTACAGCGCGAGCTCCAGGACAGTCAGGGATACACAGAGAACCCCTGTCTTGGGAAAAAAAAAGCCAAAAAACCAAAAGACCAGAACTAAATTAAACAAAAAACTGGATTTGACAAAACCCCGAAATGAGAGGTTGCAGGTTAGGCTCTTGTACCACGCTCTACTTTGTCTTGTTCTTGTCTAAAACTAGCTTTCCTTCCTGACTCTTGGATTTTCCTGTTCTTCCTTTATTCTCCGTTTTGTGTTCCGGTCTGTTCATTTTCCCCTTTGAAGGCCATTCTCAGAATCCTCAGGCTCTTCAGGATTTGTTGGGCAGCTGGTATGCCGCAGGCACTGTTCTGGACTAAGGAAGTTCAGAGTCAAGGTGAGGAACTTCCCCCCACCTAACTTTCCTTGGAAAGGCAGAGGGACTTTGGTATGCTACACAAACAGTACGTACTGGTGATCTAGGTGGCCGGAAAGAGTTCCAATTCCCATTACTTTCCAGTCCTTTGAAAACCAAAAGCGGGGCAGTTCAGAGGTTAGGGCAAGGTGGAGAATTCTCGGGTTGCAACACAAATGATCCCGTTCAGGCCAAAGACAGACCCTGGGCAAATAAATGCCAAAGGGATGGCGCGTCCTTTTCTGTCTGGACCACTGAGTGTGAGTCTCTCTTCACCTTATTCTTCACTCCCATCCCCTTCCCCACCCAGGAGTAACCAAGCAGCTCCTAGTCAGAGATGAGACCAGGACTTGGAAAATACCACGGGGAGGAAAATGAAGAGAACTATGGTGCTGACCCCAGGCGAGGAGGGCAGACCCTGGCGGCGATGCGCTGGAGGGCAGCCCCACCGTCAGCCACGCAGGCAGGCTCAATGTTGGGCCGCTGCAGAGGCACCGTACGCGGGTACGCGGCACGGACAAACCAAGGGTGGGACCCCGGGGGCGGGGCCTTGCTCGAGGAGGGGCTGGCGGGCTCTCGAGTTGTCCAATGGTTTCCTTCGCGAGTTGCCCGACAGACCAATGAGCGGGCAGTGGGGCCGGCACAGGGGCCGGGGCTGGGCGGTGGGCTGGCGGGTGACCACTGGGGGCCGGGAGCGGGGAGCAGTGGCGTGGAGCTGTCCTCGCGTTCGCCGCCGGGACCCGGAGCTGTGGGGTCTGCAGCCAGCGAGCGGACCGCCGCGGGGACCCAGGCCGAACCGAGCGGCGGGAGCAGGATGGCAGAGGCCGTCGGAGCCTTGGCTCTGATTGTAGCCTCCGCTCGCCGGCGGTGGCTGTGGTCGGTGCTGGCCGCGATGCTCGGGCTGTGTGAGTGATGCGGGGCCGGGCCGGGGCCGGGAGGGGGCTCCGCGGCCGTGCGCGCGCTCGGGGCTCCGCAGAGGGGAGGGGGCGCGGTCTGCGCGCTCTGAGGCCCGGGCACGCCGCCCGGGGAGCGCGGCCGGGAGCCGAGGAACCTCTTTCTTTGGATCCCTGAACGCGGAGGAGGGGGCTCCCTTGCTTTGCGGCTTCCCGGGGTCAGTCTCGGGAGGCCACTCATGCCCGGCCCCCTGCCGTCGCCTCCTGGTGACTCAGGGTCTCCCGAGACCTCCTGGGAATTTGACTCAGGAATTAGGATTCTCCACCTTTGGGAGATGGCGGAAGGCTGCAGGATTTTTCATCTGTGGGGCCTTTGTTGGTTTATTTCCTTGTTTAAGCCAGTGGTTTTCTTTTACCTGGTAAGGTCCATTCTTAAGCTTCCGTGATAGAAAACTAAGACTCATTTGTCTCCCCTCTGGGGTCTACAAATCACAGGGAAGAAATTTATGTTAGTTCTGGACTAGAATGCAAAGGCTTAAAAGAATTTAGTCGAATTAGTATTAATGCCAAACATGGGCACCATAATTAGACAAGGCGTAGAACATTTACAAAGCATACTTTTACTTTGATTTAAAAAGCCTCCCCTTCCTGGCCCCTTACCAAATAACCAGACTCAAGTTTTTTGATAAAGGGCTCCGGCTCGGTTTATGTGAATCGGATGAGTTGTTTTATGGGGCGTCTGAAGTAGTGTCTGCCTCAGGACTTGTGTGTGTGTGTGTGTGTGTGTGTGTGTGTGTGTGTGTGTGTTGTTCAAAGCAAAGTACTTGTTTCTATCTCAAAATTCGGTTAAGTAGTGGTTACAGAAGGGGCTGACTGCTAAGAAAACACGGAGGGAATGTCCCCCATTTCTTTTGTTGTGCAAAATTAATTTGTTCAATGTCGATTACACAGTATCTTCCGTGTAAAAGTTCCTAATGTAGCGAGTAGTCTCTGGAACCAGAAATATAGGTGACGTTCGTTGGGTTACCAACTTTCATTCGACCTAATGGTTAATAGTGTAAATGTGAAAACTGACCAAGGTCCACACTGTATGTATCAGATGGGATCTGTTCTGTGTTTTCCTGTTCCTCCTAAGGAAAAAGAAAAGGCGTGGGCTTCTCTTTCTTTCTTTCTTTCTTTCTTTCTTTCTTTCTTTCTTTCTTTCTTTCATTCTTTCTTTCTCTTCTTCTTCTTCTTCTTCTTCTTCTTCTTCTTCTTCTTCTTCTTCTTCTTCTTCTTCTTCTTCTTCTTCTTCTTCTTCTCCTTCTCCTTCTCCTTCTCCTTCTCCTTCTCCTTCTCCTTCTCCTTCTCCTTCTTCTTCTTCTTTTGGTGTGGGTTGTATTTGTGCTTAAGCAAAGGAGCACAGGATAGACCCAAACTCCGTTTTGTTGTGAACTGAATTGTGTGATGTCAGGTATTGCTGGTGAAGGCAGGACAGTCTGAGTGGTCTTCAGTTCAGGGCGTTAAAAGCAGCAGAAGCAGGGACATTGATGTTATGAAGGAAATGTCGCCTGCGCTGGTATAAGATAAACCTGTTTGTTTGTTTGTTAAGAAGCCAGGTGTGGTGACTCACACATAAGATCCCAGCACTTGAGGGGTGAGAGACAGGAGGGGTGAGAGACAGGAGGGGTGAGAGACAGGAGGGGTGAGAGACAGGAGGGGTGAGAGACAGGAGGGTTGCCATGAATTTGAGGTCAGTTTGGGCTGATTTGAGGTACTATTTGGAAGGGTTCATCTTTTACAAAAAGTTCTTTTGAGATAATGTCACACCATGTTATTGCAGGCTGGCATTGAACTTGGTATCCTCCTGGCTCAGCCTCCCAAGTGCTAGATTAAAGGTGTTTACCACACCCTACTTTTGTGGTTTGGAGATTATTTTTCACCATGTTGCTTGAACTGGCCTTCAACTCCTGGGTTCAAGCTATCCTGCCTCAGCCTCCAGATACCTGGAACTATAGGAACACACCATTGTACTCATCCGATGTCCATCTAAGCACTTCTTTAGGCATTAAGTTTTTGAAACTCTCACGGAATCTGGGGTCACAATATTTGCTCTAAAATGTCAGGTTATTGAGAAGTCAAAACAGTTAAATCAATTGAAAAAAAAAGAAGGAAGGAAGGAAAGAAAGAAAGAAAAGTGGAGATATATTCAATGTGGCCACTTTGTGACGACCAGAGATCCATTGACCCAACTCCAGCCCATCCTCAGGGGCCCGGAAAGTTTCAAGTTTAAATAGAGGGCTAGAGGTATATGCAAGTCCAAGCGGCCAGGTCAGGGTGTGAGTTCACCTACCACTGACCCATCATTATCTGCGCTTCAGTCTCTCCAGCAAGGTGGTCCAACAACTTGTTAGTGTTGCAAGGTGCTGACAGTTACATTGTAGGAAGGAAGCTGCAGCCTTGAGACTTGATTGGGTTCTCTTCCGGGAGGGACTGAAGTTTGCAGAGGTCTGCCATTCAGAAAGTAGATTAAACTTTACAAATGACTAGTGTTGTTTGTTCTGTGGTAATAGTCCTTGTATCAAAACTCACAGCCCCAGCCCCTTTCCCCTTCCCTTCTCCCCTTAGCAGTCACATCTGTGCTATATATCCACACATTTAGACTGATGTTGAAAGGAAAGAGCATTGGACTGAGAAGTTAGCGTACACAAAATGCTCATGTGCACAGCCAGCACTCATGCCTGCTGGGAGCACCGGTCGCAGAGTGAAATCTTTACAAGCCTACTGACCCCATTACGCAGGCATCTATCTGCATCGCCCTGATTTGTATTCGTTCTACTGTTTATAGCTGGAAAGCATTTTTTCATGTTGGCTTTCCCATTAATGATGATATAAATCACCACTGAAGCTGAAGTAGAAAAAGCTAGGGAAGACCAGTTATTAGATACCGCTGATTTACGGATTTGCTTAATACTGCCTATTGACTTCACTTGCTACCTGAAACAGTGATCTGGAGAAAGCTGAAACACTGGGTGGTTCGCCTGAACAACCTGCTAACTGCCAATATGCTTCTGTAAAATCTTGTTTGCCCCCCCCCCACCTTGTGGTTTTAGAGTATGAAAGGAGAATACAAACTGCGCCTGGGATCGAAGCCTTTCAGGAGCTAGCCTGGCCTCGTCCACCTGTGACATTTCCTCTCTTCCACCCTCGCTAGTGTGGAGTGCTTGTTTCAGAAAGATTCCCGCAGCAAGGCCAGGAGTGCTGGAGCCACTCGCTAGTGTCCCAGGAGTCAGTAGGTGTTTGTGGAGTGCATTCATTGGACAGCACAGCTGGCATGACTTCTTTTTTTATATATATATAAGATTTATTTATTAGGTATGCAGTGTTACAGATATTTGTGAGCCACCATGTGGTTGTTGGGAATTGAACTCAGGACCTCTGGAAGAACAGGCAGTGCTCTTAACCCCTGAACCATCTCTCCAGCCTGTGGCATGGCTTCTTTTGCAAGCTCAAGTTTGTTACCTGAAAGGTTTAAGTGGAGGCACTTTTACGTTTTTAATCTTTTAATTTATTTCTATATATTTGTTTGAAACTGGGTCTCATGCATATATAGACCAGGCTGGCGTGTGTAGCTCAGCCTGGCCTTGAACTCATAGTAATCCTCCTGTGTTGGCCTCCTAAGTGTTGGATTTCTGGTGTGGGTCACCACATTTGATTTGAATTTTTAAAATCATAGTTAAAGCTTTCTAAAATTGTAAGGTACGTAGATAATTTACCTTAAACAAAATGTTGAAATTGAAGTCTAAAATTCTTAGTATGGTGTACTTCTTTCCTATAAAGCAAAGTAAACCTCTCCCTGACACTCCAACAAGTCCCAGGAGGATAGTCTTTCTTCCAGTTTACCTTTCTTTTGTCCCATCCCTGTCAGCCCCTCACCTGGATGATCCCTTACTTACAGGGAAGTCCCTGTTTCTCTGAGGCCCTGCTCACCCTCAGGCTGTTGTTTCCTTCTAGTCTGGCCTTCTCTCTTTCCCCTCTCATGTCTCTAACTGTCACCATTGCCAGAAAACATCCCATCTTGTCACCCTGCTTCTCAGTGCTGTTTTCCAAGACCACTGTTGTAAGTTGCTGGAGCTCATCAAGACTGTGGTCTTGCGTCTCACCGCCATGCCCCCCCCACTCCCCCCAGAGCATTAGTCACTTCCTGGCTGCTTCTCTCCCTCCCCAGCTCTCCACAGCCCATTGTTGGAATCATTTCCTGGCTAACACTCTTCCCTTTCCAGTACTTCGGGCCCTTCCTTGAACGCACCTGGCAGTCCCTCAGAGTCTGGGAGAACTCCACCGCTGCCTTGTGTCTGCCCTTGGATCAGCTTCCGTATCAGTGCCCTCCTTTCAAATCTTTCTGTGTTACAGCACAGGCGTGCTGTGGAATTTGTCTTGCTAAAAAGCCTGACTTTGGCTTCATAGTTAGTGTCTGCACTCCATCAAGTAGTAGTAATAATTATCTGGAGGTTTTGGAATTTGACATTTACATTGCGAGCCCTTTATTCCCCTTTAGCTTTCTCTTCCAAGTCTTCTCTTTAGCCCCTGGTTTTAGGTGCTTTGTCTCCAATCTTTTCCTCTGGTCTGTGTTGCTTCCAGCCAATGCCAGGGGAAACCGAGGTAGACAGCGTCAGAGCCTTCTGGTCTTGGAGGATCAACCATGAATTCCCTCCTGATAAATGGGGCTCCCACGTGCAAGCATGCTGAGGAGGCTGGGCAGTCTCAACTCGTGCTGGCAGAGACTGCTGCACAGGGCTGCCAGGCAAACCTGGCACTGTATGGACGCAGCGGCATGTAACTAGGGCAGTGGTGCTCAGCCTTCTAATGAATGCTGCAACCCTTTAATGCAGTCCCTCATGTTGTGGTGACCCCCAACCATAAAATTATTTTCCTTGCTACTTTGTGGCTGTAATTTTGCTATTGTTAAGAATTGTGATGTAAATATCTGATATACAGGATATCTGATATGTGACCCACATGTTGAGAACCAC